CAATAAGTGTTCCCGGAATTTCCGCGAAAATATTACTGAAAACTACAGACATCATTCCTGAATTCAAGAGTTTCCTTTGATTTTCAGGATCATGTCACTGGAAATTTTTTACAAAATGACTTAATTTTAACATTGCTTGCTCATTGCATTTCTGAAATGCAGCTGCCTAAAAAAGACACATCGATTCCTAGGAACAAGGTTTTTTTTTCTCGGTAAATACATACAATAGAGAAATGTCAGAGTGGAATTCCCTGATTTTTTTTCACTCTCGATTAATTTTTTAAAGATTCAAATTGATACTTGATTCATTCACATCGTTCCATTCCATCGGGAGATATTGTCGATTGGAGACAATTTTTTATGGTCACTGAAGGAGACAAACCATTCATCTAAATCTCGCAATAATCTGCGAAAAATCTTATTCATTAATCTATTATTATTGAATTAATCCCATTATGTGTAGATCGCTGGAGAACAACGAAAACGTTCCAACCGTTCAAACGAGTTGGAATGATTTCTCTCTCCTTCTTCTCCATTTTCTTTCTCACTCGCACTCTTTAAANGACAATTTTTTATGGTCACTGAAGGAGACAAACCATTCATCTAAATCTCGCAATAATCTGCGAAAAATCTTATTCATTAATCTATTATTATTGAATTAATCCCATTATGTGTAGATCGTTGGAGAACAACGAGAACGTTCCAACCGTTCAAACGAGTTGGAATGTCTTCTCTCTCCTTCTCCATTTTCTTTCTCACTCGCACTCGTTAAGTTTGGCGGAGGACGGGCACGTGCCAACCCGACGGAGACGACAATGAGTGGGAGTGAGCGCGATACATATTCGTTTCTCACTCAGGGGGGGAATAAATATATATAATCGAACATTACCATAGTAAAAAAAAACAAAATCTGCACAATTATTCAATAGAATCACCGTGTCAATAATAAATATGTCGAGAAAATGGAAAAGACTTTTAGATTATTAGATTCTGCATTCATTATACTATTGATTATAATATGTTCGATTTTACATTCCTGACAATTATTACAAAATGCGAGGAGCTACCGTATTGAGAACCCCTTTCCGGTTATCGACAAATTGATGCTCAGGCCCTACCATACCAACAGTTCCGTACGCTCCATCGTAGTCCATGCGCCACCGCTACGAATTTTGCTGTTGAACACTTTACATTGGCCCTGCTCATCTCCCCTATAATCTCTGCCTTATTATCTCTGTGAAACGATCGGTGGTGAAATGTAGATAATCGCATTTCTGTATACGGGTATAGTTTATGTTGCTAACAAATTAGCAATATGCTTCCGAATGGATTCCCTATTTCTGAAATTTATTACTCTTATTTTTTATTGTTTTGAATAGTGACACCCATATGACTCTCTTATGATCCCTATCTTACCATTTTATGAGCCCATAGAATCCCCATGTGACCTCCATATGACTCCCGTATAACCCCATGCGATCCTCATATGACCCCATATGACCCTGTATTATCCCATATGAGCCCATTATGACACCATATGACCTCAGATAACTTCCAAATGACCTCATATAACCCCCATATGATCCCGTACAACTTTTATATGACCCCATATAACCCATATATGACCCCCATATGACCTCCATATGACCTAAAGCTTCATATTGCTACTATGCAACTCAATAAATAGTTATGCTGTTTTCATCGATCTTTGCAATTCATCGAGAAAGCATCAAAACAATCTTTTTGAGTCATGATTTCATTGATATGACAATTTTTCCAGTTTATCGTGAAAAAAATGAAAAAAAAATCTCCCAAACTATATACTGCAGCTCAACAGTGATAGATGCGATCCGCATATCATATTCTGATAGAACCAAGAGGCTATCAATACAAATTTTTCAAGCCATGATTCATTAAATTTTGATAACAATTCTTAGACTGAGCGTCGAAAATCGATTTGTGAAAAAATACCAATATTTTACAAACTCTATGAATAATTCACCTTTAATTGGTGTCGATGAATAGAGCCTATTAACGTCTATATCCATGGAAAAATTCATGAAATTTCATCAAGCTCCTATAAAGAAAATTGCGAAACAAAAAATTGAAAAAAAGTACACACATACCTACATACAGACACAATACATTGATGGCGGGCTTCCGAATGATCGGAAATATTACAAAAGTTTATAGCTTCACAACACTAACTAGCAGCAAAATTTCAAATGGTTACTGTCTTCTCCATGGGGGCTATATTAAAATTCCAATGTTTCGAATACTTCGTATGAGCGGATATACATATTTTTTGTCCAAATTTCAAGTTAATATCTCCATTTTTGCACAAGCTAGAGTGTTTACAACGTTTCTTTTTATAAAAAAACGGAAAAACGGGAATATCTCGAAAACTTTGTATGAACTAGTATATATGTTTTAATTGATTTAGACAGAAGGTAGCGAAACGAATGTTTTGAAAGAGGAAAAAGTGAAATCGGTTGCGTAGTTTTGAAGATATTCCATGTAAAAAATTTTCAGAAAAACGGGAATATCTCGAAAACTTTGTACGAACGGGTATATATCTTTTGATTGATTTAGATAGAAAGCGTCGAAATGAATATTTTGAAAAAAAAAATCGAAATCGATCCACTAGTTTTGAAGATATTTGCGGAAAACGATTTAACAATGAACCGCTTTTTTCAGAAACTATTAACTCGATCGGGCTTAAATTTTGCACAGAGCTTATCCTCATTAGGACCTATAAAATTTCAGATTTTTTGGAATTACTTTAGCCACTTGATTACTCAATTTTCTAAAAATTGGCCGCCGGGAAGGTGGTGGTGGACTTGGTAACATAAAGACATGATCGCCAACTTCGTATTTTCACGTTTCAGACCATTCTACATCATTTCCAATTAAAATTAGAGAATGTGAAAATCGAAGGATTACAATGCTTCCATTTGGAAGCAAAAATGTTCTGAATTGATCGAATGGTGGTTTAAAAAATTTGTTTGGATGTTCCTTTGACCGAGTTCGAAGATAGTGATACTGCGAGACACTTTACGAGACAAAACTTTGGAGAGATGATCTCGTTCTTAATGAACACGGAAATCATTGCTCTCGTCTCAGTCTCAAAATACGCAGTATCGACTCCTTTCGTGATGACTCCGAGTCAATTTATCTCATCTCGGTCTCAAGTTTTTCGTGTTTTTTAATATAAAATCTCGGTTTTTGCCTCGGTTTTCTACATATAAAAAAGTCGAAAAACTGGAAACCGAAATGAAATAAATTGACTCGAAATCATTACGAGAAGAGTCGATATTGCGTATTTTGAGACTAAGACGAGAGCAAAGATTTCCATGTTCATTGAGACCGAGATCATTTCTCCCAAGATTTGTCTCGTGATGTCTCATGGAATGCCTCGCGGCATCACTATTCGAAGGTGAAGGCGATACCAATAATCGTTATTTTGATTTATTCGAAAATTTTCAAAAATTTTGTATTTTTTGAAAATTAGAATTCCGGGGATATTTTTGAATATCATTCTGCAAATGTGATGTTTCAAATTCATTCCAGCACGTGTCAATAAAATTTTTCTACAAACATTTTATCGAAGGATTGAGAGGAGAGATGAAACTGTAAAAAAAGGGAATCGGTTGTATACAAGAAAAGGCATAATAAGAATAATGATGCTGATAACATTCAACTAAGTTGAAAATTTAACAACATTAGGTGAATGGAAATCTTATTCAATTTAATAAAATGAAATAAACAATGAATTATACATGATAGAAGGAATTAATGTGTCAAATAACCATTCGGAAGCATATTGCTAATTTATTAGTCAAATTAACTATACTATATACAACACAAGAGCAATCCCTCTTCCTCTTGCTTTTATCGTTGACTTGAATTTCACTTACCTGCATGTCATCTACTCTTCAATCTCTTTCAATCGATTTTCAGTCCTTACAGATTATTGGAAACGGGTCTCGAAAGCGATATTATGACAATGGATGCTAGAACATTGGAAGCAGCAAAAATTTCAAAGCACACCAACCTGATCGACGGTTAACAGACTTGAATTATTCCTTAGTTAGTATATACATCGAAGATACAGCTGCGAATTATTACGGAGTGAATAAAAAGTTTATGTACAAAAAAGTATGTAAAAACCAGAATATAAAATGCACAGGTGTTTTCATAATGCAGGACATCACTATCGAAATTATTTAAAATTCGAAATTATTTGCGAGCTCAATTGGGCCTGTAATATTTTGAAACGTAGTGCCATCTCTTTGGCTTGATCTTTGAGTTTCTGCGATTCTACTTGGAGATCCTTGACTTGTCGTTCAAGATCCCTGATGTTTCGTACGTTCATGTGCTCCATATACTTCTCCGCCTCTCTCCTAAACCTTGGAATCCCATTCCCAGAGGGTACTTCACAGTTTTCACAGCAATCAGACCAGAATCGAAGATTAATTGACGGAATTTCATCACAATTGATGAAACTATTTTCCCCTTCAGGGAGTTGAAATACGTCTCTTTGAACTCTAGTGATGTTGTCCCCATTATCGCAAAGGATTCTGGCTAAACTGATCTGTTTAATCTGTTGCAGTTGTTCGGATTTGAAGGTGGACGGATTCTCATACCAAAATCTATCCCCATCGCGAGACCTGCGGAATTGTTCTAATAACAGACAGTTAAACAAAGGGCCAACTTTAGCGTTAGGTAGTTGATCCTCTAAAATTCCACCGACCCAAACATCCATATTTCCAGGATGTCCATAGAGTTCCTTCAATTTCCTTCTCACTCGGGGATTGCTGATTTCCCTTGCAAGATCCTCAAAGTCATTTGCACTTGCCATACCGCAGTACTTTCTCCACTCTAAATATCCCGGGATTCCATGCTCCCTAGCTCTCTGAATGTTCATGGCTGCTAGATCTAAAGCAACTGCATGAGCAGTTTTAAAGAGCTCTTCAGTGAGTTCGGAGTTGAGATTTTGTTCTGGTAATTTGAGTTTTGCAGCAGTAGCGAACATTCCACGAAGGAGGGGATCGACTCCACCTTCATCTACCAGTCTCCAAGGTGAGAAGAAAGCATCACGGAGGCTGAGAGGTCCTTGAGGAATGCTTCCGAATGTTTCGTTCAATCTCTCCAATCGTGGTTGGATAAGTGAATGTCCGAATCGTAACGCCGCAGTGGCAAAAACGTTTGAAATCCTAGGATCCAAATCGGGGTCATAACCAGAGTAGGCTCCAATCAACTCCTCAAGACTTTTTCCAAAAACTTTAGGCATCCATTGCTGATAAGTAATGTGCTGCATCTCAGCTCCAACAATTTTTCTGGCTTCCTGGTACAACTTTTCCCCGGACCAATGGGGATTAAACTCTCCTAAACTTCTGGCAATACGATTATGCTCCCTCAACCAAATAGTATGCATTGCGAGCAATCCCACCTGTTCATTAGCTCGAAAGTCTCCAGTAACAAAACAGTTGATAGAGCTTTCTTGAGGATTCCTTCGACAATCCACAAATTGTCCCGACATATAGGGCAACATTGCTTTTCTTCCCGGCAATGCAGCGCCTTCTCTTAACAATCCCCGATCACTCTGAAGTTCCCGAAGATCTCTGGCTAGATCATCATCGTATCCGTAGACCTGAGAAGCATCTATATAGCTCGTCAATTGATTCATCTGTTCTCTTGGGCTCATCCCATGTCCCCAAAGAATACTCGTCATTCCAGATCCACAAACTGCACTGGATCTGACAAAGTCAATGCAACGTCTATTGGTGATTCTAGGATCTCCAGGAGGTACTTCCATTGGGAAACATGGAGCTGCATTTTCACAGGATTTTTTGCAGTCAATTCCATCCCAGGACTCGCTGGAGACCGCAGGAAGAGCATGGTCAAGGTCATGATCTAAAAATTGACCCCACTGCATTAACATGTGTGTTAATTTATCGTCTGAAGTGATCTTATTAGTTGAAATAATCTTTGTCGATATTAATCTTGCAGCAGGCTTTGTGAATCCGAAGTATAGTCTCGTTTTATCCCACCCAATTGGCTGAGAGAACCCATTTTCATAAATCGGTTGAAGAATCCTCCGGAATCCTGTGTAAGATGATCCCCAGGTTGTGTGTTTCAAATTATTGCAGGTGCCATCGATTGTTCTGTATTTACTATGAAAACACAAATTGTTACATTTTGGTTTCTGTCGGTGTCCAGTGCAATCCGCGAGCTTCTCAATCTCCCGGACTTGATCATGCGTCAAAATGTCGGTATAATTGAAGGGTCCTGAAACATTAGCCTTCATACCTTGATTAACAAACTTTCGAATATTGACTAGAGTTCTTTCGAAAATTTCTGCAGGTCTGGCATTAGCCCTGGCGACTTTGTTGGGAAACCTGGCGATTCTGAAAGGGTCAGAATGACCTGTAGGAGGTGCACCATCGATTCCAAACAGCCTTGCTAATGTCTGATTTACGGCCCTATCAATACTATCTGTTGCGTCTTGAAAAGCTCGATGAACGATGCTGTTTGAGGTAACTAAAGCTTGTTTAACTTTTAAGAGACTTTGAGCAGTTGCTCGACCGTAATCATTGGCAGCTGTGCATTCGTATCTCCCAGAGTCACTCAAGGTGATGTTTTGGATGTATAAACTCCCTCCACGCGAGATTCTGTACCTGGGGATGGGTTCCAAAGCACTTCCATCTTTCTTCCAGTGGATTATGGGTTTCGGTTCACCTTCTGAGCGACAGGGGAGTTCAACGGTGGCTCCCAACTCTGTTTCCATGTTCTCTGGAGGCTCGTAAGTGAATCTGGGAGGGCTGGCATTCTCGGAGACAACTTTCAGATCTGCGCTAACCTCTGCGAATCCGTTGATGTTTCTTCCTTGGCAGACGTATCGAGCAGAGTCGCCAGTGGTTGTGGAGATAATTCGTAAGGTCATACCTTCGTCTTCTAGGAACATCCTGTCGTCTCCTCGGATCCGTTGGCCATTTCTCCACCATTCGATCCGCGGGGAGGGACGAGCCTCTGCTTTACAAGTGAATATAATGTCCTCACCTGCAGTGACCGACTGGGAGTTGGGAATTTCCGTAAAACGAATAGAGGGAGTCGCGGTTATGACCGCGCGGGCCTTTCGCGATGCTATTGAACCCATTTTGCTCTCAGCAATGCACTCGTACTCTCCAACATCGTTCTCAGAAATGTCCGAAATAACCAGAGTACCGTCCTCTTTTATGATGTAGCGCGAGCCATCTGGATTTACTTCGTCGGAATTTCGCATCCACTTTATTTTCGGTTTTGGATCGCCAACTACTTTACAGCTGAAGGAAGCTGTTTCGCCAATTGCCAAGTGGATGTCTTCTGGGCCTTTCATTATCTTTGGAACATCTAAAAAGAGCATAGAATAAAGATCCGTGAAGTGGTACAATGAGTGAGATAAGGGTGGGATGAAGAAAAGTGAAAATCGATAGACCTGAAAAAATGTTTAGGACAATACTTTGAAAGTACCAATTTTGGCACTATGCTTATAACAAAGGGGTCAACATGCTTCCATAAGTTTACTCATATCCTATATTAATTTCTGACATTTTAAGACAAAATTGCAAATGACTAAATGAGTCGAGTTAATCGTATTCAGGGGAAACACCATTTAAAAAATTTTTAGAATACAGAAGAAAAAAATTTTTAATTGTCAAAATAATTTGTTGCAGTAATTTTGACGAAATAAAGTAAACGAATAGTTTTTTATGCTCGGGCTGTTATGAGGTTTACTCTCAAATTAATAATTCACTTACTGAAAGACTTTAAAGATGAAAATAAAAATAGAGGGCAATGAAAACAAAAATAAACGGACTCTAATGGCCAAGGGAAAAATTGAGGTAGATTTCTTATTCAGACAAATAATGCATATATCGAAAATTTTGAGCCTCATATAACCTCATGCTAACGCCTATATTGGTACGTATTTTCTATTTTATTCCTGATTAATCAACTCGGATTGGTGGGCTAAAATTTTCATCATTTTTTAGAGTGAAGATAAATCTATCTATGAATTGAAAAAAAATGAAAAATTATAAATTTTTCGAATGCTTGCAATTGTGGATGAATATTCTTAAGGATATCCAAGTACTTTGTCTATTTTTGCTTCCGAATGGAAGCATTGCAATCCTTCGATTTTCACATTCTCTAATTTCAATTGGAAATTATGTAGAATGGTCTGAAACGTAAAAATACGAAGTTTGGTGACCATGTCTGTATATGACCTCGGGTCATATACAGACATCCCGGGGGTCAATTTTCAGAAAATTGAGTAATTAAGTGGCTAAAGTAATTCCAAAGAATCTGATATTCCATCAGATTATAGGTCCTAATGAGGATTAACTCTGTGTAAAATTTCAGTCCGATCGATCTGATAGTTTTGGAGAAAAAGCCATTCGTTTTAAATCGTTCCGCAAATATTTTAAAAACAAATGGACCGATTTTGACTTTTTTGTTTTCAAAATATAGCTTGCACAAAAATCGAGATATCATCTTGAAATTTGGACAGAAAGTATGTATACCCGCTCATAAGTATAAGTATTCGAGACATTGGAATTTTGATAGCACCCATGAAGGTGACAGTAACCATCTGAAATTTTTGCTGCTAGTTAGTGTTGTGAAGCTATAAACTTTTGTAATATTGCAGACCATTCGGAAGCCCCCCAGCAATGTATTCATGGCGAAAAAAAATAAGACATCACTCAGTGACATGCTAACAGTCACATGGCGCGCTGTCATACGCTCGCTGCCCCCTGCTTGTTTCTCCAGTGAAATACTTTTCTACTGTTTTCGCCCAACATCAGAGCTTTCGTTTGAGTCCTAATTCACCCTAAATTTCCGGAAATTTTACAATAATTTTGTTATGTAAACTTTGCAGCCCTGAATTTGAATCTCGATATTGAACCGTTAGAAAACATTTTAAAGAGATACGTCGGTGAAATTTAAACGTTCACTGGGCTTTGGGACCCATTTAACAGTTTATGATATATAACGGAATAGGGGAATAACTAGGTAAAATCGCGGACCCGATCGTTTTTGTCCCGTCTAACCACGAAAAACGTCATTTTTTCCTGTTTTTACCTTCAAAATGCTCCTTGCGCCGTAGTTTGCATACGATTTTAGTTTTTTTTTAAATGTTCGTTACATTGCAAACAATAACGTTAAGCATCCATTTGGCTTTATTCGCAATAGATCATGAATAAATGAATTTTGAATTTCATAAGTTTTATTCCACTGTAGAGTCGCAAAAAATTTATGAAATTCAAAATTTCATTTCATATTTATTCAAGATCTACTGCGAATAAAGTAAAACGGATGCTTAACTTTATTCGTTGGAATGTAACGAACATTAAAAAAAAAGCTAAAATCGTATGAAAAACAGGAAAAAAATGAAGTTTTTCATGGTTATATGGGGCAAAATCAATCGGGTTTGCGATTTTCTTCTATTATTTCCATATTGGGTCCCAAGGACCAGTAAAGAATTTTAAATTTCACCGACGAAACCCCTTAAAAATCTGAAAAAAATGAAGAAGTTTACTTTTGGAGGAAGACTAATGGAATAATAAAAAAATTTCAATTTTAAAAAATTCCGAGCATTTTCTTGAAATAATTTATAAATAATCAAGTTTTCACCATAAATATCATTTGTTCGGAATCGAAACAAATTTATTTACTATATTCAGAATTTTACTAGAAATCGATTTCATGCCTAAGAAAATAAGGTTTCCGAAAGTTTAAACAATTTAAATTATTTATTTATAAATAACGAATGTTGAAAAAGATAATAACTCAGGGTAACATGTAATTTGAATGACGCTCAATATTCGTGATTTTTTTCAAAATTTTCTCACGTAATTTAATTGACAAATTGCATGATTGAATCAGTCATCGTGTAGTAAACTGTGAAAGATACTTGGATATCCTAAAAAAAAATATAATTTTTGAACTTTAATTAACCCAGCGAGTCTATTGTTGTTGATTAATTGATATTCTATATAAAAAGATCGAACATACGGCAATGGAAATCCTCAGTGGACATAGAGGTGAGTGATCGACCTTCCATCTCCACTGGAGCTTGACAGACCGCAGTCGTCTCCGATGGCCCTTCGCGAAGTCTTTCAACAAGCCAAAGAAGATCGCAATCACATACCAGCGCATTGCTATCCAACCTTAGACGTGTCATTGGCCCAACATTTTCAAAGGCATCCGCTGGTATTCTGTGGAGTCTGTTATTTTGCAAAAATAGTCTCTCCAACTTCGGTAGATCGCTGAACGTTCTCGGTTCGATCTCCGTCAGACGATTCTCGTGGAGATAGAGTTGTCTCAAGTTTGGCAAGTGCGCAAATGCTCCAACTGCCACCGAAGTTATTCGATTCTTGTACAAGTATAGAATAGTCAAGTTCGAGAGGCCAACGAATGCATTCGCCTTCAAATGCCGTACTTTATTATCATTCAACAGAATTGTATCAAGATTTTTCAGTCCATGGAATGTACCAGGTGGAATATCAACGATATCGTTGAATCTCAGATCTCTGTAAAGACATTATTAGTTTTATAATGAGACAATTTTTCTCCATAATCACTGCATGAGCAATTCAATAATTTTGATCCGATGTGACGTGATTCATGATTGAGAAAATTACGAACCTCCATAGCAAGGAAGATGAGACATAAATAATTTACTAAAATAGTCTGGGGAAATGTAAACTCAAGTGAGAGGGTGCGAATGACCAGAGCCATGCCATTGGATGTTATTGGACTTTTCAAATTCCGCGTGAGGTTTCAAATTACGGTGAACAAACCTGGATTTTCAAAATTATTGAGTACGACAAGGGATTGACAGGCAGCTCGATTAAATACGAAAACGTATTTTTTTCACAATTTAACTGGTCACTGGCAATTTAATAACTGGTCTAATTTTTTAAAGATTTCTTTCCTGGTCTAAATTTCATCCATTAGAATTTCACTATTCGACGTCACGCGGTACAACCTACATGTGGAATTCAACTGATGATTTTTTCGAACATTTTGTGTATTACTTAGGGCAATGTGGAGCGTTTGTTATCCACTCCAAATCGGAAGTATAGGATCTTTGTACATATAAACGAACACGTTTTTTTTAGAAATTTTTTTTTAGGACCTTTCGGGATGTACCTCGTATTTTTCCAGCCTTTCCCATATTATATGCGAAGAATTATGAGAAACGGCATTTAAAAGTCTACGTAATAGGCGAAAATTAATAATTTGGGATGTTTTTGATTTCGAGTATACATTGGAAACTGATTTTTTTTCATTGAATATAAAAAAAATACCTCAATAATCGCCCGTTTTTTAATACATATAGGAGAGAGTGGGGCAAAAAATGAAACAGTCAAAAATACGACTTTTTGAGACAGTTCAAGTAAAAACAAATTTTTTCATCAACTATTTTTTTTATATTAATTTTCATTTAAGGTAAATAACCCTACGCTCGTCTAGCTAAGGTGAACACATCATTAGTCCAATATTTCTATCGAAATGAGTGTGAAGATACGATGATTTAAATTACATATCAGAGGGTAAAACCTTCAGAATTGGAATTTATTTATATTAATTATGAAAATTACTATTTTTTTGATAAATAATCGTCCATGAATGTGAAAAGTCCCATGTCCCTACGCTCGTTCATTTGTCCCCATGCTCGTTTGACGCATGTCCCCATCCTCGTCTCGTGATTTGAGTGATATGGAAAGGTTATATCCGAACTAATTACATCGTGAGTATCCAATTTTGTGATAAAACAACATTAAAGAATATCTCGATGCACAAAATTATATTGCCATTGGACAGTCCAACCTTTTAAATGATTTTTTCATCCGTTTAGTCCGTTACCAGTTGACAGTTGGGTGCAAAACGAGCGTAGGATCAATGCCATTTTCATTGTACCTATTCTTTTAATTTGCAATATTTCAGTGAAATATTCGGATATTACTATAATTTATGCATTTTTATTAAATTTTCAACTATTCGAAACCTTAGCCAAGGGATTTTTAATTCCATTTTACTAGCGTAACGGAGATATCAACGTTTTAAAATTGTGAGTTTCTTAACTTGTGGCTTAAGAATTAACTCTGTCATAGCACGAGTTGATGTGAATGTGATTTTTTTCTCTTATTATTCAATAAATCACTCTGCATTGGTGTCTATAACTTTTCTTATTGACTAAAATAATAACTCCAATCGTACTTCACTCTGAATAAACTCTTGGGACTATCAAAATGATTGAAATGTCCATGGCTGGCAGGATTTGAACGAGCGTAGAGACAAATACGGGCATAGGTACATTTACCTTATTAATTTTTTTTTATTCTTGGCAGTACTGATGAGAATAATAATTTTGCATTCAGTAGAATGAAAAATTATTGAGAAGTTTTGACAGGAGAAGATTTTATCAATGGATTAATTGAAAAGAAAATGAAACAACAAAATCCAAAGTCCCGAGGAAGGCCCAGGGGGAGACCCAGATTGGGAAAAAGGAAAATATGATACTGAATTCCAATCGGACGAAAAAAAAGTGTAATCGGCCTAATCTAATCAACTGAATTGTAATCAATAGAATTATAAGACGAATAGAACATTATTATTCTCATCAGTACTCCCAATAATAAAAAAAGTTGATAAACAAAGGTTGATCCAAAAAAATTTTTGTTTGCTTGAATTGCGTCAAATAATTGTTTTTTGGCTGCTTCAGTTTGTCCTTCCCTCCCCTAGCTCCATTATTTATCAGTGAAAACAAAATGTTTAAAAAAAAACATCGACATGATGCAAAATAAAATTTGGATTATACTATGTAGTTATGAACATAAAAAAAAAATTTCTCCTATATTTCAGTAGGAAAATTGAAAACGTGTAAATATCCAAATCTGTAGTATTGTGGACAACAGTGGACGAAACTGTTGTTTTGTTGTCGCGCAGAACTATTTTAGAGTCAGGAGAAAATATGACGAAAAATTCTGGGTTGAAAATGTTCAGAATGTAAAAAAGGGGTCTCTCGATATTTTGTTCTGAAACTACTTGCTCCTGAGATTAATGAGGAAACAATAAAAAAGAATTCCGTTCGTTGTGAACCTTTCAAAACTGAATAATAATATTTCATTGGTTGTATGATAACAATTGAATTGATTCCAGGCTTTTTCCTGTTAGGAGGACGATAAAATGTTCATAGAGCATTTTGACGAGGATTCACTGCACACTACTTACGGAAAATTATAGTGGGCGATCGGGTTAGTGCAGAACCGTGTCAAAAGATAAATGTTGGGGGTCGGGTCATAGTGAATGGTCCTTCCACACGGGTATTATCGTTTCTACCCAGTTTACTCAATTAATCATGGTGAAAATTTATGATTGTCATGTTTTTTACCAAAACGTTCAATGAAAATTTGATCATATGATGTCAAATAAACGTTGATCAAAATGTAAAAAATACAATAGAGCTGATTATGCTGTGCATGAGGATTTGATGTTGAATATTTTGGAATTTCAGTAGTGTTAATGCAATAAAAAAATCGCACAGATTAATTTGCAAATGTCTCAAAAACTATTAAAGCAAGGAAGTCCTTTGACATTCTCTTCCAGTACGACCTTTTCGATTTGATCGCGATATAATTCGATAATTATAAAATGAATTCAACATTTTACTTACAAAATTGTAGAGTTCCCTGACACTCTCGGTACTCTGGTGATACCCTGGAACATGCATCGTACAGCAGTTTGATAACACCAGCACTTTCTGGGGCAGTCTTTAGAGATATTATCTGGTCTCCCTTGAGGTGAAGACAATACAGGAACCAAAGCCGCCAACAGGAGTAATCCACTAGAGATCCTCATATTCAATGAATTCCACCCGACATCCAACTTTTTTCTCCTATTGTAAACCTCTCAGAACTCAAATAGTTTAGTCTTAAATTTTTGATGATCTCAGCGAGTCAAGTTCAAGCGGAGCGCGGGTGCACGAGCAACTGGCCAACGGTTCCTTCAGCGACTGAGCCAATGTATTCTCAGTGGAACGGTATGAGTGCGTTCAGCTTCCACAAGTGAGACAGAATCAAATAAAAGGGGACGCCAACATTGGAAGCGGGATAGGAGTGGTGTTGAGAGAATGAGAGCCAAAGAAGAACTTACGCTCTCATGCTTGGAACAGGAGAGAGAGAGAAAAGTATGTCATGGTATAGTGAATCAAAATGAAAGACTGTGTGTGTTTGCTGGACTATTTGAATCCTGATCAACAACAAAAACGCTTGAAAAAAAATGTATATCCAATTTGCCTCCACATAATGACACTAATCCACTCGTTGTTGCATTTCCTACTTCACGCTCTCATCCATTCTCGGTAGAAAGCCCAGCAAAAATCGCCGGAGGAGATCCTGATGGAGAATGCGCGCCTTCGAGTCGCGTTCTTGTCTCTTTATCCTTATTTTCTTTATACAGAGTTTATCCTCTTCGTTTTCTTTTCGCCTCTGGCGACTAGTTAAGCATCTTTATACATTTTAATAAATCTAGTAATTACTCTAGTTACATCTCCAAGATGTCTTGTAAGATATTAAATAATTACTTGGAGATGAGTCGAAAATGTCTTGGAAGCCAGCTGATTTAGCAAAAGTTTTGAACATGTTTTGTCCAAGTTCATGACAATTTCTATGACGATGTTTACCAAATAGTCTCAAATTCCGTTTATTTTGAACTAATTCCCTCTGCAGACTTCTTACCATTCCACCATTTGAAATAAAATAATATTTTGTGCTTGATATTCTAGTCCGATCTAAGAGAATGAAATGACTCCACGTGAATATGTTGAGTCTGGTAATTCGATCAATTAAAAAAACATAAAAGTGAATGAACATAAAAAGAATAGTTGAAAAATACTGGCGCCAGTAGGCCATAGACGAGCTGGTAATTTCAGATACAAAAGGCATTCTCACAGTTATTTATGTGTGTTAAAACATGGACACATGTGCCTGCATCAACAAAGACCCTGAATTTCGTAACCAACCTTTTTTTTCCTCTCAGGTCGTTCCAGCTGGTTCCAGGCATTGAGCACGGTTGATCAGAGGAGGATGGCGGGGGTGTGACGTCCACCTCCATCCCGGATTCGTCATTAAACATATTTGTGTACAGTCTCGACCACCCAAAGGGATTCCTTCTCGGCTTCGCAAAAGCCGAATGGTCCAAAAATAACCAATGAGTCAATGCATCTGACCTCCCTCTCTCATCTGGAGCATTGATTTAAACTTTTTTTCCGTTTCATTTTCATTGGTAATCTTTGTCAATAAATATATCGTTTTTTCCGAAGCCTCTTTACAGATAGTAGATGAAGCTTTGAGATGTGGGTAAATAAAGATGCAGATATTTCATTTTATCAATGGGCACTGTCTTACGCCATCGAGTCACAAGATTAAGAGTTAAGAGGAGGAAAAAAAAATAAAACCAATAAGAGCCTATCAAAAATAAAAGCAAATGGATAAGTCAAATAAAATACTATTAGACATTCATGTGGGTAATCAATGAGGTCCTCTATCGCTGAAAAGTATAATCATGGAGATATATTCCCGGAATGGAGTCATAGTGAACAAGACATGAGTTCAATAATTTTGTAATAATCATTTTTCTAATAATTTGAGAGCTAGTGAATGAAAGAAAAGTTGCAAGGGGTCCATGTCTAAAAAACTTTTGTTTAAAGAACTTCGTCAAAACAACTTGGTAACAAAAAAAACTTGAAGAAAACAAAATTCGAACAACCTGAACTTGAAAAAACTTTTAAAGTATAAAGAAAACTGCAAGAAAAAATTGAAAAAAAAGTCCACACGCATACATACATACAGACATCTAAAAATCGTATATTCGCACTTGTTGGACCATATTTCGTGCCCTTGACACAAAAATTTTCAAACTTAAATGTGAAGAATTACAAAGCTTCCATTCGGAAGCAAAAATGGAAAAAAACCGAACGAACCACAATGCAAAACATCGTAACTATCGTAAACGGATACCAACACTCTGAAATTCCAAACACGAACACAGATTTTACCTATATTCTTACAAAAGGCAAATTCAATTTGACAAAAGTTCACTAGTCCAATTGGAAAAGCACGTCTAAAAGACATTCAACTTAAGTTGAATTTAACCAGGTTTTTTTAACGAAGTCTTTTAGACATGCTCCGAAGGAATAATGAGGCAAAATGGACCCTTCTGAGTCTTTTTATTTTAAATGTTAATAGCTCATTCAATTTTCAATGAAAAGGGATATTTTTCTAGAAAGGACAATTAATTGTTTCCTTCTGTGATGAGCCTAGATTGACTTCTACCGATAAATTCATTCCTGAGTTATGAACGTTAGAAAAAGTGTCAAGTGTCCATTTTACCTTATCCGCCTCTATACTGAAAAAAAAATCATACGATACTTATTAGAATGGAAAAAATTGCACGTTGACAATGACTGAATCCCAGCCTAGGACCGTTATGACAAAAAATATCGTTCGTCACATGGCCGAAACCAATTTTTCTAACTCATATTCACCAGAAAATTTTCTTTGGGCCCAGTGACGAAAAATAACAAATTTTACACTGGTGCTACGTTCACCTCGTACAGAATAGTACATTAGAGTACAAGGGCACAAATTTCGTTTTCAACGAATGTGTAGTTTACAGGCCAAGCCGAAGGCGAGGTCTGTACACACATTTGTTGAAAACGAAATTTATTACCGAGTGCTCTATAATATTTTATGTCAAGTCGTGCAGAAGTCGAGTTTTGCGAAGCGCAGCGTGCGATAAACTCGACTTATTGCACGGCGCGACATAAAAGTACCTTTTCGTTTACTCGTAAACGAATAGTAAACGAAAGGTCTTCTCACTTACTCATAAACGAAAAAGGCGCAGTTCGGCCACTCGCTGAACGTAACATCACTGTCAAAAAATATTGTTCGACACATGTAAGACGGGAATTTCCACAAATGTGAAGTTGGCGGCCCGAGGCGAAGCCGAGATCGTATCGAAATATACTATTTCGGTACTAGGTCGGGACCAACTTTTCTACTGAATGAGGCAGAAAAGTTCCTCACGGCCGTATTTTGAAAGATATTTTTTTATGACGTCTGTGAGCGGTGTTTTATGGATGCGAAGCATTCATGAAACAGTGCTCCGGTTCAGTAACAAAAATGAGATAGGTAGCATTGCTTGTACAGAAAATACATATTTTTGGGAACAACTAAATTTATTGTTTGCGTCAAAAATTTGTCATCTCAAGACTCTGTGCCAATGTTCAGCGCAACATGTTTTATTTTTGGTATTTATCAACGAGGAATTTTCTCACTTCAAATTAGTTTTGAGTGAGAATATGGGTTTCTTTTTCTCAGTGTATTCTGTTATGAGTAAGAGGGCATTAAAATATTAAAGAATGTCAACAGACCTCGATAGTTAAGTACCTATATTTTTGGAGCGGAATGGAGATTAACCAAAGATAAATCCAATAATTTTATAGAAGTTATTGAAATTTTTAAAAACAAAGGGTTTACAGAAAAAGGTTGGAAACATCTTTATTATCGAGACAATTGTCCACAAATACAAATCTCTTGAGGAATTCCGCTGAGCCTCTTTTTTTCGAGGATATTTGTACAATTCATCGATATCTTAATAACAGACAAGCGTAAGTGCTATGAGTTTCCTATGTAGATACACTTATCTGTTATTAAGGTGTCGATATGTTCATCTCCGTCGTTGTTAAATATCCAACATCCTTTGAATTTTTTTACATATTTATAAAATGATAGAAGATATTGAAGGAAGAAAAAGTAAAAATGAATGAGTTAAATAGATAGAATGACTTATACCTTCTCGTGTAATCAACGTGGTCCTCGATAGGCTATTAATATAGTAGTCATAAACAGGAGTACAGGGGAGAAATAGTAATTAAAAAATAGTATATTTCAGCACGTGTGGGGCAATTTCGTCTTTAACGTGTGTGGGGTTTACAGCATGAGCCGAAGGCGAGTGATGTAACCACACACGTTAAGGACGAAATTTCCCAACAAGTACTGAACAAAATTTTATGTCGCTCATGCCTGAAACCGGCTGAATTAGACACGAGATGCGAAGCGTCGAGTGTGTAATCCAGCCGGTTTCAGGCCTGAGTGGCATAATAGTATATTGTGTTACCAGTGCGTAAAAAACCATTTTTTCGCACGCACGCGTAACAGATCCTATTTTTTGTGATACCTGCCAAGTTCACTGTTCGGAACGGTAATGGGGGTAAAGTGGTTATTTTTGTGCACGGCCTCTTAATTTTACGCACGCTGTGCGTAAAACAAGCTAAATGGTTCCGAAAAGTGAATTTTTCAGGCAGCTATCTAAAAAATTTATATAATTTCAAACATCTTTCAACAACTGGGTTTTAGTAAAAAAATATACGGAAATTTTTCGATTTAAAGAGAGGTTCTCGTTAAAGAGTATTCTCCTCAATTTTTTAATGAAAACAGTTGATAATCTAGAACACGTGTTCAACATCTTTGGTTCCATGTCTTTGTAAAATCCATATTGAATACGTGAGCACTATTTCGAAGTAAAATATCAGAATTTTTTGTTGGAGCTCGTCCGATTTTCTATGGTAATTATATTTTTTTACTTCACTCCGTGCTAAAAGTCACGTTTATTGCGCGGATTGAGCTTAAATAGTATAGACCAATGGGGTATAAATTTTGTCTTCCACGAATGTGAGTACAGACCTCGCTTTCGGCTTGTCTTCTGAGCTTCACATTCGTCGAAAGTGGAATTTGTGCCCTAGTGCTTCAATTTACCGAAAGATCTTTACTGAACCTCTAGCTTTCGGAAGTACCTAAGATGAAGTAAAATATAAATGTTTTATACTTGCTCACTAAGGTATCCTTGGGTGGACCGGAGAGGCGAAACTCTGGATATTGAAATAGATGATTCGTGTCTCAAATATAAATTTTTATTCAAGTAACCAAGGTCTTCTTGTATTACTTCAGATACACTCATTCTTTTATCGCCCTTACTTTCTCAAACTAACGATCAATTACATTTCATAGGGATAGGTTTTCCATTATGTTCTCGGTCCATTAAACGGGTAACTGCTGTTATGATATTAACAGGTGTAGAAAATAACAAAATAAGTCAATTATTAAATTATCATATTTTTACAATTGATGAATAACTTAATTCTACTCCTCAGATATACTCATTCAATAATTCACAAATACTTATGCCTAAGTATGATACATGTATGTAGAAGAGAATGAGGCAGAAAAATGGAAAATCAATCAAGACAAAATTCAGTAAATTATTTAATCAATATTTCGCACTATTCACTATTCCCTTCTCCACCATCTTACATTCGTATATTTCTGTATTTCTACGAGATATGACTAATAATGATGCCAGCTGTGTAATTAAAGTCTGAAAACTTTAGTAATGTCGGTGTCATTCTCCCGAATTGGACCATCATGATAAAACAAATTAAAAGAAATGAATATAAGTTCGTCCTTGCATATTGGCATCTAAACTCTATATACAAATACTTAATTACATTTCCAATGTAAGGAAAACTAGAAACAATCGATGCATCCTACTTCAATTTAACCGTTTAGTAATTTGCTGAAACGTGTTAATCCAAATATGCCAATCTTCACAGTTACATAAATACTTCAATAATGAGTGATTATAAAGCAAATGTCAAAAGACCTTTGTCGTAAATAAGCAAAAATCCCAAAAAAGTGCCTCGAATTTTTCTCTAAAAACGCGTCATTATCGAGATAGTTTTATTTTCACCAAGGTATGGAAAATAAATTTGTTCTGTCGTGTTTTATAGATTGCCTATTGAATCCATTCATGCTAGTTTCAAGTAGATCGTTCTGTCCCTAACTTTGCAGTGTCTGAGCTCTCTCAAGGCTCGTTGAGCTTCATTGGGCGATGAAAAAGCCACTCTGGCATCGCCAGTGGGCATACCCTTCTCGTTGTATCTTCTAATGACATTTTCTCTCTTGACATCAAAGTCTCTGAAGAACTCAATGATCTCATTGATGTCAGCTTTGAAGGGTACATTCTCAAGAGAAAGAACACAACCAGGTTTACCAAAGCCCTCGACGTAATCAAGAGAGGACCCAGGAGGACCCGGTCTATTGATGGGCATGTGTCTGGGAAGCGCCATGATGCCAGGAGGTCCCCTAGGAAGACCAAACCCTCCGTTTCCAAACCTGGGTGGATGATTCCCCATCGGTGAGAACCTCGGACGCTCCTGAAGGGGTAAAGGAAAAGGCTGCTGCGTTTCTACAAACTGTGTATCTGCATTGCCCAACATATCCAACATTTTATTTCTCGCGACAAGCTCAATAGTAGGAAAATTCTTTCCCATTGGGAGTCCACTCTTGCCCGTTGCCCTGACGGCCTCCTCAGCACTCTCAAACTCGCAGAAACACTCGCCCGCCGGTGATCCGTGATTATTCAACATCATATGAATTCTACGTGGTACAATTCCAATGTCTGAGAAAAAGTCTTGGATATCACGTTCAATCACCTGGAAAGGCAATCCCCGCATGATAATACAATCGGGAGTACTAGCCTCTCCAAGGGTCTCCTGTTCATGGGTGCGTTTGGCTTGAGAAAATTTATCATCGCTTATCGACATTGCTGTTATCGCTTTTGGCCCTATTTTCAATGGGCTCGTTAACGCCGCTTTAGCGTCCTCAGCCCTAGAAAATTGTACATAAGCCATGTACTGGGGTGTACCGCTTGAGTCTTTTTTTGATGTTATGAAAAGATCATTTATTTTACATTCATCCAATTCCTTGGCAATGTCTGCTTCTTTGGTAAAAGAGGGGAGATCGGCAAGTAAAATACATGAGTTTCGAGAATCATTGGTAATGCTCTCAGGATTTTCATCGGGTTTTTCGCGTTCGGGAACGTAAGAGTCAACAGCTTTGTCGAAGAGAGTTTCATCGAGTGAGCAAACCTCGACCTCCGAGCCACGGATAAAACGAGGGACACTGAGAGCCAATTCTTTCCCCTCGGGTTTGAGGAATCTGATATAAGCTATTCCTACTCTGTTGCCTTGAGTGTCGTTGATGAGTTTCAAACCATCTTTGCGGATGTAGATTCCCTGGAATGCATGTCGAACATCTCCGTAAGTCGCATTCAATGGCATATTACGAACTTCGATACAGTGACCTCCCGATTTATCGAACCTCACACCATTGCCAACATTTCTCGACTTTGCTCTCTCAGAATTACCAGGGAAAGCATCATAAGGAGTAGAGGAACTCGTCTGAAAAGCATGGGGATTTCTCCTACCATCCAACTCCTGCATCTTACTCAATAAATGAGAATTTGCCCTTGAGTTGGCTCTGAAATTAGTATTTCCAAAGCTTGGGAAATTATCAAAGCCAGTGGATCTGACAGGGAATCTTATGTCACTCAAACGTGGTGGTCGATCACTCGACCACTGATTGTCACGTTTCAATGAATTAATACTGGATAATCCCAAGGACGATGGTAATGAGTTAAGATTGAGTGAATTAATCGCAGGTGTCTGAATGCCCCCGTTAATACCATTGAGGGTTTGAAATTGATTGGGTTGCATGAGAGGTGTTTGTCCAACTGTTGGGAAATTCATGGACCTTTCTGTCTCTGGAAGCGCCGCAATACCTGCGCCAAGTATTCCCGGTGCTATAATTAATGGCATTTGACTCTGCGGAGGAACTTCCCAGATCCCATTTTCGATGCTATTTCCCCCAGATGCATTCCCTTTTTTTCCAGAACCTTTGCTTCCGCTTTGCTGATCTTTGGGGAATGAGCCGACAATAACCACTTCGCTATTATCATCATCCTGTATATCTTTACGCCTATCACTGTGGGAACTACGCTTGCTGTCTCGATCACGTGAGCGTGTACGATCTCGTGAACGATCTCTACGGCGCCTGCCACGATCTCGACGATCGCGGTCTCGCGATCTACTCCTGTCTCGTCTACGTCTATCCCTACCCCGATCGCGCCTGTCCCTGTCTCTGTCACGATCGCGCGACTTCGATCTATCCCGTGATCTTGAACGATCCCTACGGTCTTTACGATCTTTGGTCGTTTCACTCTCATTGTCACGTTCTTTGTCGCGTTTTGATTCAACCGCCGGCGATGACTTCTGCTGGAGTTGCTGGGAATTGGCTAAGGGAACTCCCGATTGTTGGGGCACTGGTGCCACTGGCGTTTGCATAAACGACTGGAGTGACAGAGTTTGTTGACGCGCTGCTTCAATCACCTTCTGCATCTCCGTACGAGAACTTAGCAAAAGTTTTATCTTCATCTCTTTGATCTTTCCACCGTCGTGCATCATTGCCTGACGGGCATCCTCATCAGTGCTGTGGGCCAATAATTTCATTTTTTCGTTTTGTTTGGATGGTTAATAAAAAGAAAGAAAGAGAGGGATGAGTGTGGGGAAAAAACCAACGAAGAGTGATAATAAGTTGTTTCTGGGGAATTTGATCGACTAGGGAACGATATCTGCAGCAAGATGAATTGTTTACCTGAACGCTATGAAAGCATCGCCCAATTCGCCGCCGACTATGTGGACACCACCCTCGGGGATGCTCAGGCCACGGAAGAATTGACGGATGTCAAGGGCATTTGCTGACCATGCCAAGTTTTGTAGTCTGATTATTACACTCATTTTTGAATAGTGTAGGAGAAAGTGAGTATAATCTGTAACCGAAGGGAGGTAATAACAGTTGTTAATATGCTTGGGATGTTCAATTTTTTTTGCAGAGTTGTTTTAACTTTATTTCGGTTTTCTTGTTGTTTCGAGAGTAAGCTGACGGAGGAGAGTTCCTAACAATTAAGGAGGAGAATGAATTTTGCGAATCTTCGATCATCGAAATACATTTAGTACAATGTCCTTGATTGCAGCAATCGACTCGGAAAGCAGGGAGCATTAGAACGTCTCGTTTCCTGAATGAATTACGAGATTGTAACGAGGTCAAATGTCAGCAGCCTTGAAAAGTATATCGATAAATTCAGTATAAAATAAATCGTACATCTCAAAAATAATCCTACTGTGAATCCAGTTCTATTTTTTTATGGACGATTAAATTAGGCAATCTGAATTCAACAGTTTCTTGTCTAAATATTTCATTTGAATCTTCAATGGTGTATCAGAATTCTCCACAGTTAAATTTTATCGAAACAATAACGATATTTAAAATTAATCTAAAAATAATTTGTTCATTCATAATAATAATATTAATAATAATAATTCCTTCATTCATTCAACTCTTCTAATAATTGAGACTTGTCATAAAAACCTGTGGAACAAACTGGAATGCCATTGAAAATATGTCAATCTCCTGAAGAGTAGCTATCAGTTATCTACCATCTTGTTAGAAGATCACCCTCCACTATGGCATTCCAAGTACTTTTGTTATTTAATTAGGAGAGAGTGGGGCAAAATGAAACAGCCGAACAACAACTATTGGACGCAATTCAAGCAAAAAAAATTTCTTTATCAACTTTTGTTTCTTAACTTTTTTTATTATTGAGAGTGCTGATGAGAATAATAATTTTCTATTCGTTTTGTCATTCAATTGATTAGATTAGGCCGATTACACTTTTCTTTTTTCATTTGATTGAAATTCGGCATCACATTTTCCTTTTTCCCCCTCTGGGTCTGCCCCTGGACTTTGGATTTTGATGTTTCATTTCCTTTTCACTTAATCCATTGACAAAATCTTCCGTCAAAACTTCTCAATAATTTTCCATTCTACTGAATGAACAATAAGGTTTCTGGTTAGTACTCCCAAGAATAAAAAAAAATTAATGAAAAACAATTTTTTTGCTTGAATTGCATCAAACAGTTATTTTCGACTGTTTCATTTTGCCCCACTCTCCCCTATCTAGACGAGAGTTGTGGTTTTTTAATGAAATCATCAACCACACAAAATAAAAGTCCTCACAAATTCATCAAGAATAAACTTTCGAGTCTATCATGATGAATTTTCAGTCTGCCGTCGGTGAAGGAACTCCTCGAACAACATCCTTTTGAAACATGATGTGGCAGAAAAACGGTTGAACCTGGCATTTTGGAAAAGTGTTTCGATCCTTAAAAACCTTCTTGGACTAGCATTTTCATCTGTTATACACTTTGTTTCCGTGTTTATTTGACTTCAAACAATAAAATTCCTCATCCGTTTCATGTCATACAAAATAGATAATAAGAAACTGAGACGAACAGAATAAGTAAATTGAAAAAAAATTACCCAATTTCTGCTATACATGGAAAGAAATAGGGTGATCAGGCCAATTGCTGGACGATTAAAGGAAATTCGAGTTTCGTGGTAGGATCTAAAATAAAAGAATCACCTAAATGGGGATATGATGGCATCCCTATCTTCAAGAATGTTTTAATTAGCAGAAAAAACGGTTTAAAGTGAAAATAACAAAACAAAGAATAATTAAATTGAGAAATAGTTGAATGTAGCCGAAACCCCCAATTTCTGGACGACTTGGTGATATTTTTATTTATTTATTAAATGTTGATCAATAGAAGAAAGTAATTGATCACATGATTATACACAAGGGATATTATGGAGAGGTGAAATAATTAATACAATTTTCATTTTATTTGTGGAATATTCAATGCAAGTTGAAATCGTCCAGAAATTGACCTGTTTACCCTACATCACAATCTTGTGCGAATGCCTTCAGAAATTAGTGTGCTACCCGCTAGCCGCGGGATCAAACAGGGGATCAACGAAAAATTCGGATACGTACCCTAATTTTTCAAGGTTTTACGCTACATTTTTTTATAATTCACGTGAAAATTAGGGTGACATGTTATGCCCCAGGGTTAGTGGGTAAACGTAGAAAAATGGTTTACTTTATATTTTATTTCTTTTTTTACGGAATTTATCACACGAAGCTTGTGATTGGCCATCGCCCGAGGGCCTCCAGCCTGGAAAATGGTTTATTTGATTTGAATTGAATAAACTTCATACGAATTAAATAAATTTAAAAGGGGGGAGTGGGGCAAAATGAAACAGTCGAAAAACGACTATATGACGCAATTCAAGCAAAAAAAACTTTGTTATCAACTTTTATTTATTAAGAATAATAAATATTCTATCAGTCTTATAATTGAATGGATTATAATTCAATTGATTAAATTAATCCGATTACACTTTTCTTGTTTCATCCGATTGAAATTGAACATCACATTTTTTTTTTTTTGGACTTGCTCGGGACTAGATTTTACTGTTTTATTTTCAATTAACCCATTGACAAAATCTTCTCCCGTCAAAACTTCTCAAAAAATTTCCATTCCACTGAATGGAAAATTATTATTCTCATCCGTACTGCCAAGAATAAAAAAAGTTAATAAACAAAAGTTGCTTAAAAAAATTAAAAGAATTTTTTTTTTCTTGCTTGAATTGTGTCAAACAATTCTTTTTCGAGTGTTCCATTTCGCCCTACTCTCCTCTAGAGGATTTCTATCGTTTAAAATTGATGAGGGAGACATGCGGAAAAAGTTAAGTGCACAGCATTGGGTTCAAGAAAGATGTCTTCACCGAGAAACTGACCCTCTGCTGGAGAGAAAAAGACCTCTCCCTACAAAATTCCTCCAGGGTTCAATTACAAATCCCTCGTAATTCTAGATGTGATGAGGAGATTATCGAGACTCCTCTGGGGTCATTGGTGGTGGAGATTTTAAATGTTATCGTTCAAGGGCATGTCAACTAAATTTTCGACCGATAGCGACTGTTTGTAATCTTGACCGTAATGGTGATATTGGTCACTTAATTGCAATTTGTCTGATTTTTGAAAGTCTAAGAAATTTGTGGCTACCTAAATTGTAAATAGAGCCAAGAGACTGTATTACTTCATAGTTAAGGCGCGCAAATTAAGAAACTTTCATAATAATCTGATTATAGAAGCAGATGCTGACATCTCATAAGCTGCCTCGTAAGTTAACTCCCTTTCGCTCAATACGCTAACTGCTGTTTATTCCTGTCTGAATAATTGATTGAATGATTAAATGTACACAAAACAAATCAATTAAGAAGCCTGTATTGTAACTCCCCCCTGCCGTAGGGATCTCCCTGTATGGCAGGTAGGGTGAACAGGCCAATTGCTGGGCGATTAAGGGAAATTCAAATTTCGTGGTAGGATCTAAAATAAAAGAATCATCTAAATATGGATATGATGGTTTCCATACCTTCAGGAATGTTTTAATTAGCAGAAAAAAATTATTTGAAGTGAAAATAACAAAACAAAGAATAATTGAATTAAAAAATAGTTGAATGCAGCAGAAACCCCTAATTTCTGGACGATTGGGCCATATTTTTTAATTTTTTACATATGTCGATCAATAGAAAAAATAATTGATCACATGATTATACACGAGTAATATTATTGAAAGGTGAAATAGTCAGTACAATTTTCATTTTATCGTTTATGGAATATTCAATGGAAGTTAAAATCATCCAGAAATTGACCTGTTTACCCTATATGAAATAAATAAAAATAAATAAATCAAGAATAAATCTAACAAAGGATTTGATTCAAACAGAGTCTATTTAAATCAAATGAACTATTTTTCCGGATTTTCGTTAGAATCTCCTTTCCACATATAAAAAAACTATACCTATTCTTATTGTTTGGAATCCAACGAACATTTTAAAGAGTCTGAATAGAATGAAAAGTGTAGTTACGTTTGAATATGTAATGTTTACTCGAAAATAATTTACTTTGAAGCAGGAATTTGGTTGAAATTTTTTTTCATTTTTCAATATGTTCGTGTATGAAAAGTCTATCGATGGATCTTCCGATTTTCAAATTCACGATGCGCCCTCTCCAACAACATCAACAATTCAGCAGAGAATAATTTTATGGTATGTCCAATTTCATGGTAAATCAATTAGGTGCGAAAAATTGACTTTAATGACGTGCAAAAATTCAATAAAAGAATAGTGATTTAGGAGCATTCAAATACGAAATACAATTGGGCGAGGAGGAGGTTTGAATTTTGTACCGTTTTGAAATAAAGGGGGACAGTGGTTGTCTGCGTTGTCATGTCACATCATATTTTTTTCTACCATTTCTTAGATAACAAAATCGAAAATATTTTTTTCTGCTTTCCTCTTTTCAAATCCAATTTTATGAGAAAAACATGGAAAAGAGAAACAAATAATCTTCATAATTAAAAGACGTCGTTGATTTTGTAACATAATATATAGGGGGAGGAGGTCCACGTTTGTGACAGCTTGCAACGAGGGGCGGGACTAAAAAGTCCAAAGACGTGACGTAATATTTGAATACCTCTTGTAACTAATTTGTGACATTGAAACCATCAATCGTCCCCTAAAAACAAATTTCCATAGTTAAGACGGCCATTGAAGCTCGCCTAGGAAAATGATGGACAATTAAAAATTTCTTAAGAAGTCATGTTCTAATACTCTTAATTTTTCCGGAATTAATTAATAGTTCATTGCTTGCGCTATGAGCTCCACGCCGGAATTTTTACATTTTTTGGATAACAATGTTAAAACAATTGAAAAAAATTGTCATCTTATTCTGAAGTACCCGGTGGCTTGGCGCAGTGGGTAAGTTCATTGCCTCATATGCGAAAGGTTCCGAGTTCAAATCCCGGCCGGGTAGAATGGTGCGATCTAACCATTTAAACTCTTGATCATCATCGCAATATACCCTAACCGGGTCGAAGCGATGTAAAATAACGATAAAAAAAAATTATTCTGAAGTATATAAAAGCCCTATCAACAGAGAGCTAAGAGGGATTTTTACTGACAAGGACCGTGTCCTATTTCCCAACAAAAATTTTCTTTAAAAATATTTTCAATGTTGAAATATAGCAATTTTTATATAAAAACTCCATGGGTGCTGTGTTAGGAGGAGCAAAACACAAAAATTTCCGAAAAATAAGTCAACTTTGAACCGCACAGAATAAGTAACTATATTTGTATTCTAAATGCTTGCGGGCTTCCATTAACGATATTTGGAATTTGATTAAAGACTTTTTTCAGTTTTTCTCCATGAACTGTTAGATGAATATTGCCATGCAGCATCGGGTTTACGAACGAAGTATTAAATCAAACATTATGTTAGCTACATGAATCGTCAAAATTTTTGAATATAAATGTATAAATATAAAGTTCAAACTCAAAGAAATTTAATGAGTGTATAATATAGTTTATCATCGAATGGAGGTCATGTTTTCGATTAAGAGAAATTGATAAATTTCCAAACACGACACATACAAGTGAGTCACTTCTCGAAGTAACATCAAAGTAACATTAAAAATTCTATAGTTGGGAAAAAGAATCTTTTTGTCAAGATTCCCTGCTGTTACTCAGAGATTATTCGAATCAAGATACATTTTTATGTCCACAAATAGCGGTTTGTCTAATCAGTTTAATGAAAATAATTAAATATGGGTCATAAAAATCCCTTTGATTGAACCGCGCCCCAGGAATGCCTTGAAATTAAAGTGTGATTAATCCCCCAATTGAAATTCACTAAATATTAAAAAAGCGCTACCGTAGTAATTCAAACTAATGATCCCAATAAATTCTTAAAGTCGACGAACCAATTCATCATTTCATCTCGTGATTATAAACCGAACAACGATGCCCCTCAGCTCAATCATTCTCTGGTGCACCAACGTCTAAACAATTGTGCACAAATTAATTTTTTTCCGTCGTTCTGGTGCCTAGTAAAATCGACAATAGATGTTCACCCAACGCTGAGAGACGAAGAGAATACATCAGTGCAGCCGTGCGGCTCTCAAATAAATTGATGCAGGATGAGCAATGAAAGGCCAGCAGTGGAAAATCTAACTCTGCTTCGGCATGATGACGAAACTCAATTCCAACTGCATTCAATATCAATTCATTCGGATTTAAACACTGACAGGCTCCTCCGCAATCCCCTTCATTATCGGAAGCTTGTTAAGAATTTTCAGGAAGCTTCAACAATGTGTTGTCAATTATTGTACGATCATCAAAAAAGAGTGGGAGTAAATGAGAGTATAGAAATTATGAAAAAGTTACGTTAACATCGCCGATTCATTAATACGATTACTTCAATGTTTTACAGTTTCTAAACAATTCGAAATCATTCAGAATCAGTTGCCACGCCATATTGATTGATTCTCGTGTTTTTATAGATCAAGTGGGATACGATGAGATGCATTCATCAGGGTGAAACTGCTTCCAAGATTGACTGCTAACAGGGACAGAATCAAGGACTACTCAAATGATTTTTCAGCAGTGATGGGGAAAGTTCCGTTGATATTATCAAGAATTCAAGTGGATTATCCAAATGAACTTTACTATTTTATATTCGTTTTCATTCTTCTCATCTCTCGATTTTCCTCACTTCACTTCCTCTGCAGCCTTAACTTACCTCTACGATGGAATTTTGTAAATAGAAAGGTAATGGGTATACTTGTGGACTAGTGTAACCGAACAAGTACAAGTAACATTTGGTGTATCTCAATTTATTTTTATAATATATAGAGACTGATATAGTCTTTGTCAGTGAGTTTTCCGAGTGCTCGTGAACGTTTGGAGCGAACGTGTAGCCTGAAAGCATTATTCCTATTTCCAGATTAAGGGGGGGGGGGGAAAGAGAAGGATTAATGAACGCTGTTCCTTCCAATCAAATTTAATTCTTCTCTTTTGTTTTCTTTTGTCTAATCATCGGGAAATTCGACTACTTTCAGTGGCCAATGTTTGGATGTGCTACTTACCTTCCAACGAAAAAATTAATCCAATCAATTAAAGCCCTGATTTCCATTTGGTAAATTATTTACGAAAATCCAATAGGAAAAGCATCCCCATAATTCAACCCAAGTTTGTAATACTAATGGAGTGACTCCCCTCGGTAAACGTTAAACTCATCAGTGAAAGACTTGAAATTAATACCCTCACAAACATTACTAATTTTATGAATAAAATTACCTTAGCAGGAACTCGACAAAGGATTTCCACAGTCTTCAAGCGTGATGTTCTAAAATGTGCGTTAATGCAAGAAGATAATCGACGATATATTCAATTTATCGAAGATCCGTGGCTTTGATGATTAATCCGGGCAGAAAGACGACGTTGAAAAAACTGCTGTCCCATTGTAAAATCACACGGACATTGTTCATAGGATCGCGTCAAAATACCTGGCATATATCTATATATGTGTACATATATATTTTGCAAAATCTTTATTTTATCCTTTTTAATTCGCTTTCAATACGTTGACTATCCTTGGTCTTGAACAGAGGCACCTAATTGACGCGATTCAGCCTATAACCCTGCAACACACACAATTTTTTTCTATTTGGCTTTGTCGTCCATTGCTTATCACCGAAAATTAACCATTAATCATCCAAAATACTACAACCTTGTTACAAATCAATTGAAAAAAAGTCCTAAGCGAACTGATTTGAGACGATTTACACTCATCTCTTCAGATAATAATTAGAAACTTACCAGCCGCAGAAAATCGCACAAAGTGGAGTGAAGCCCTTTGACTCCCAATGAACGGCTTGTGACGAATGAAAAAATGAAACGAAACTTCCCTCCCCTTCTCACACAGTCAAACGAGAAAGTTATGTCTGTAGCATTAGTTTTTTTTTTCCACGTGATAATCGAGTGAAAAATTCAATAAAATAATTACGTCCAAGTATGAAAGATCTCTTTATTTTATCAGACGTAAAATAGACGACACCCCGACGACGAGCCTCACAAGATGGCGGAATGGCGGATTGGATTGTGTCGGCAAGGAGAGGGGATGTAAGGAGGGGGAGGGAATCCTTGCTATTGGTCAGGAGGACCCCTGTTGCGCTGTTTTTAAATGGCGACCGATCACAACTAACGACACTCGCGGATCCTACTTATCTGTTCGATTCTTCTATTCAATAATCACGTGATTTAGAAAAATGTATTTTGTTTTTTGTTGTTCGCTCGATAATTCATTATGCTAGTTTTATCGTTAATTTCAATGAGTTATGTAAATATTGAAACAAAAAATTATTTCTCATGCGGATTAGCCTTGAATCTTCATCCAATGCCTTGAATCTGACATACAATATAATGATTCTTCCTCCTCACTTGAAACTATCGAATTAGGCAGAATGTCACAGTAGTGTTGGTTTTTTATTCTAAGAAGAAATTTTTGAACAATTTCGAAAAACTCTTGTTCACACATGCCGGAGATAAACACTTTTTCGGAATAAATGGGGGATGAAGGCAAAAATGGGGTTTTTCAGGTCCCGTGACACGAAAAATTAATATACACACCTCGCCATGGAAAACATATCACCCTCTCGCACGTGGCTCGGGCATGTAATGCACTATTTCTTCACAATATCCGTATAACGGTGTTTGACGTTTTTTTGGCGTTCATCAAATAACGGTGATGAAAATTTTAGTTCATTTTCATCAACGCTCATTTTTTGCGTCCCAATTCGATTAAATTTTTATTGGAATTTCAGTAGAAAATTCTATTAATTTTTTGCGCCAATTTAATTAAAAATTGTGTTATTTTCGCATACATTTTTCAATAGATATTTGCTCTTAGAAGAGAATATAGATATTACTTTTTGCGTTCAACTTCATTCTGTGCGGATTATCTCTATAAGAATTCCAGATCACGAATTTTTCTACGTTCTTTTCTTGAATTTTATTATGAGAAACAAATAAGAATACAACGGGAAAAATTTGGAAAATTTATGTCCGAGAATTTCTACAGAAAAATCAAAATCTATTGACTTTTTTCTTTCAAATATCTGTGATCATAATATTTAATGGAATTGGTGCCAAAAACAAACAGAATTCCACTTTGCTCTGAAAAAATCTCGTAATATCATTCGATGCTCATTGTACACATTCACAGGGAAAAAATTCAATAACACCAAGTGATTGGGTAACAGCTAAACTATTTATTGAATACGAAAATAATGAGGGTGAGAATATTGCGAAATATTGAGGGTGAGCACAGTTGTTTTTAATACAGAAAAAAACTCCATATATAGTTACATTTGTTTAATAAGTCCTACATGTATTTACACAATTATACAAACTAATTTGTCAATTACCGTGTGACTTAAATAAGTGAATTTCCAACAAGAGCCCAATCCACGTAATTTGTTTCTCCCCCTCTTTCATTTTTTTTCCTACAACTTTGGCTTTGCGGTGAGCTCTTGGAGAAGCATATCATTGCTTGTTCAGAGGACTAGGCTTGAGTTTGTCAACTGCTATTAGTTGGATCAATATTTTGAAACAGATTCATTTACTTCGTCGGACAGATAAAAGCTCCTTTTGAATGCTTTAAAATTCTTTCATTTTGTTGTATTTGCACGTGAATGGACAGTGATCAATTCCAAATTGGTTTAGGCACATTAGTTACCCTCGAAATAGACCGATGGTAAATGCAGAAAGCTGATTTCAATCTCGTAAAGCTAATTTAGAAATTAATCATGATTAGTAAATTTCTCAATTTCATTAGATCAATTCGATGTTTAAAATTCCCCCTCTCTCTCACATGATTTTGAGCGGCATTCAGTGAACCTTAAACAACGGATTATGATATACATCTATTCAAAATTAGATTATATTAAGACATCATTCATCAATACCGTCTTTTTTAACTGCTTCACTTCAAAATAATTATCCCAGTCTCTTCAAATTTTTTTTATTCTTCATAGTGAAAAATATATTCTCGCGCTTATAAAATTTACAATATCACGCATATTTATTTTTCTTTTTCCGCATAATTCCATCGTATAAATCATTGAAAAATATTCTCTTCTTGTTACTGTACGTTTCTACAGCCAGTTTATCTTTGATAGCATTTCTCTGCTGTCCAATTATTTAAAAAAAATCAAATAGTTCACACCCTCCAGGGACGAACGTTTCGAGTCAATCCCTAAAATACTCTGTTGGTCCGAACACACATCAATTCCAGTACCAATTACTTGTTTGAATACAATCTCTGTAATTCTGCCATATTTCCTTCGATTTGTGGAATGAAAATTTCAATTAGTTAATTATTCGTTAAAATAATCGCGATTAGCCGGCTAAACCGAATACTTGGTGTCCTCCTTCTTGATTGGTGTCAATCTTAGGCCCTTCGATAACATTTGAGCCTCGAGTTCCTTATCCTCGTCTTTATACCTGCAATCAAATGTTTTTTCCTCTTGTTATCAATTTTTTCAATTTCATTAAATTGTAAATACTGTGCTGGGATAATCACTTCACTCTTAATACTCATTAACTCATAATTGATATTAACTGATGTTAACTCATAACTGATATTTTATTATCACAATGCAGTATCTCTCCCTCTCTCTGTACATCAAGAGGAGGCTCACCCTGGACAAAGGAAACTTTTTTTCTTTTTCGAGGAAAAATAAATGAAAATTCCATTTTTACATGATTTTTCATCATGAATCTGATTTTGTAGGTCAGAAAATTTTGTCCCAGAATTAAAGATAAAATTTTTTCTACCCTAAAATTAAAAATTAAAATTTCAATTTAAAAAAGTCCCTAACGTAGAAATTTTTGTTAGTTTTTGGAATGTATTCACCAATTTTCATAAATATTTTGCTTTGCAAAACAATGGTTAATCTCATTATGTTATATAAATTTTGAAAATGAAATATCCTGCTCCTTAACTTTCAAGTTCATTTATTAACCAAAAAATGGTGTTATTTTTAAAGGGCGGATTTTATTCTCGAAATTGTTTATGACGATCAATTAGAATGAGTGAATTTTGACAAAAAGAATGGAAATTATATGACAACAGGGAGAAACAATGCACAATTCAAACTTGAGGATGGATGTTCGCGAAATCTGGATTACTGGGAGGAACCCTCTTAACTATAGAATAACAAAAGACTAGGAAAGTAACATCAGGGATATTGAACATAGAGTTATCCTTCAAGAATGAAGTTTTTGTATAATCATTAGATGAATTTTTATTCGGCATTGCGACCATTCGTAATTTCTCAGATGTTAGTGAGGTACATTATTCTTTCGTGCTGCCATTTGAATGAGAGAGGGAGAGATTCACAGCTCGACAACGTATCCCTCTCAAAGTGCTAAAGTTCGAATTTGATGAGATTCAAATAGCGCGAAAGAAAAATGTATCTCACTAACACTTGAGGAATTACGAATGACCGCAAAGCCAAATAAAAATTTATCTAATGTGTATATTCCACGGTCAATAAAATCCTCAAACTGTTTTCACGTAATATTTGAATAAAAAGTTGTTTTTCCGTATATGAATGGAAATTTTTAAAGACAAATCAATTTGAAAATGCATCTGCTCCCCCATTTTTCATAATTAACGAGCAAAAATTGAGGATTAGGTATATTCCAAAAACTATAACAAAAATTCATACATTGGAGATATTTTTGAAGTCGAATATTCGGCTGCAAAAAATCAAAATCTCTAATTCTGAGCGATCGAAGACAATTTTGACCTTTAACTTCTCATTCTTGAGCAAAACTCCTGCAAAAAATGGTACCATTATTAATTTTTTCTTGCAGTGAAAAAGTTATTTTAACCAGGTGAGCTTCCCGTTAAAAAAAATCATTATCAACATTTTTCAAAAATTAGTCTTACCATTCCCAGTTTAAATATTTCACTCAAGTGCATGACGTTCTCGCATTACAAAGCGAAGCCGTGCCGTACAATTCCTCTTTGCCCATAACAAAATAATTCCATATTCAAGGGTATGTATTTTTGATATGTATATGCTTGATAAATGCTATATTATGTATATATATTAAAGAATCTCAAAATACAATTCAACAATTTTCATCACAGGAATAAATTTCGTCGCATCATGAACAAAACTTCGTTCAAAATATTCAAAAATAACAATAATTACTGTCAATAATGTCATAACAATTTTCATCATGCATCAACAGACATGCATGGTTTTTCAGAATCATGATTTGTACAAACTGTCTCCTTTCATAGTAACAAAAATCACAAACGAGAAAAAAAAATGTAAAAATTGGGATGCATGCAGATAGTCGTGAATTTTGTGTGCCTGCCACCAAGAAGGGAGAATCGAGTCACTGGAAAAATGAAACGAAATGATCTACGAGATGAATGAACACGGTGAATGCAACTAGGACAACGAGCAAAGCGAAAAATGGTGAAGTAAGGATGGATAACGGTGTAAAGGTGTTAGTGACTTGTGTTGCTGTGCTATAAGGTGCAATGATTGTTGGGCACGAGGGTCTACGCCACCTTTGTCGTTCGTCCTCCAGCAGGGCTATAAGAGAGTCACGTTTTGCCACAATCTCCAACATTTCTGTCAATATTTCTCCCTCTTTCTTCACGTCGTCGTTAGTTTTGTTCTTATCTGCAATAGACCAATGACTAATTATGATTTGTTTGGAACTTTCAAATCTCAGTTACGTGACAGAAGGAGACGCAGTTGGCAAAGAGAAATTAAAAAAATATAGAAAACGCACCATCATCAGCTAATCTCTCTCGTAACTCTTGCTCCAATCTCTCGTGGCGATCTTCGAGCTGCACCTCTTGGGCACGAACCAACAGTTCCTTCTCGTATCTGCGTAACTCTGTGCGCTCTCTCATTAGATCGAAGAATTCACGGAGGAGATCCGCCTCCTCTCGACCGGAACATTCTGAAAATCAGATAAGGGGTTATAAAAATACTTTATGTAGGAGAAGAAGGAGCAAAATCGACACACGGTTCAATGAAGGTCACTAGAAG